ATATATATATATTCCCCTATATTTCTTTCATTGAAGTTATTCATTAGTATTATCAATAAATCACAACAGGTAAGGAAATCAAATGCACATTAATTAGAATCTAATTTTATTACATGATAATGAAAAAATAAATCGAAAATAATTCGATTCAAGAAAAAAATATAAATAATATTGTTTAGAAATTAATTTTGTGCATGGTTACACGTGTCTTTGGTGTTGGTAGTTTATTCGGTAAGGAATGATGGTGCTGTGATGCAGTGTTACCACTACAGAAAATATATCGTAATAATTTCGACGTCGACTCGAATCGAGTAGTCGCGTAATTGGTTTTTATTTTAAGCGGATCGTACATGTACGATCATGTCAAGAATTCTGAAAAAGGTAAGACATTCATATAATTAAATATAATGGATAACACGTATTCAATAATGATTTCTTTATTTCTGGAATATGATCTTATCATCTCGTTCAAAACATAACCAAATTATTAATATAATAGTATGGTTATAGTAAATATTTATAACATTCATTAATATTTTCCGATTCATTTTGTTTGAACATGGTATCTATTTATTCGTAGACAACAGGATTAACGGGACTCGCCGTGTCCTCGAATCCTCGTTCGGAACTTCGTGTACTGTATGATAGAATTTTGCGACTTTCGAGTCATTTGCCGAAGGAATATATTTACAGAAAGTCTGTCGAGAATTTGGCGAAGGAAAGAGCTAATATCGTGGAACAGGTAATTTTTCACTTAATAATTATTTTGTTGTATACTCTAATCGCATGAAAGATATTTGAAATAGATTTTTACATCGAATCGAATTATTGTTCGAACTATTGATATAGCGTATTTAACATTACAGAATGAAAATATTGCCGTTATAGAAGAAAAGATAAATCAAGGACAAATAGAAGAATTAATAAACCATGCAAAAAACGAAATATTTTTGATACAAGAGATGATTGAACAGCGGCCGTGGGAAAACTTGATGGAGAAAGCACCACCACATCAATGGACTTGGCCAGCTCACAAATAATTTTAATCGTTTTTAATATATTTGTAAATAGTATTGAATAAGCATATGCTTATGAATTTTTAATGTAATCCAATTGTAGATTAAATTACGTATCTATATATCACATAGCCAACAATTGTGTTTATTTGTAGAAGCTTTCCTAATATGAGATGAATATAGAGGTTAACTCTATATAACGTTTATAATTGGTTCACATTCGACTGACAATATTTCCGAGAAGTTGAACGACGAACGGAGAAAGTCAGAAAATTCGTTAATTCGAATGTTTGGTGGAAAAAAGTGGCAAAACGTTAAATGGCAACACCTACTAGATGGAACGAAGAAACAATCACATGACACACTCGAATAGAAGCTACGTTGAAAGGAATGCAGCAAGGAAAAAGATACGAAGGAAGGTAGGGGAAAGGACAATGTTATACGTTGCACAGTTAGAAGAAAAGGATGCAGATATGGTAGGCAGGTTGGTAGATAGATGAAACACGAGCAATGGTAGGAGAACGGTTTTAACAAACGTTCGCAGGGGTGGGGATTCGAGAGCCGCCGTTGCCGCCGCCACCGTCGCTCAGTTCCGATTTCGCGTCGCGTTCGAGGATAAGGACCGCGCGGATCGCACTCTCTTTCGAGTCGTCTAATCATCTGGACGCGGTGTGCAGTTCTACGGTTTCGCACTTTGTTTTCTTCTTCCTCTTTTTCCTTCTTTTTCCCTTCTTTTTCCCCCCTTCTGTCGTCACACTTTCCTCTTTCATCTCTCCTATCTTCTCATTTTTATTCCGCTTCTCATTCTTTTTTTCGTCGATACCTACTTTCTCATTCACTTCTTTATCCGATTTTCGTCCGGAATATAACATAACGTTCGTTATTGTGATACAGGTGCAGATATCAAAAGTACAATCACAGTATCGCGTAGTTAAGATATTTAAAATTAACGTTAAAAAGATGCGCTACAGCACGCGTGAAACAAAAAACGAATCTTTAGGATAATAAAAATCGATCAAACTTCGCATAATTTGATTTTTATGTTGCCTGCTGTCCATAAGTCTATATCGTCGTTTTAATTAAAGCAAGTAAGTACGTACATAGATATAAGTACAATAAGTAAAAATCGACGTATCTAACAACATGTACATATTTATTTATTATAATCGATAATATTCAATTTCGATAGTATATATATATATATATATATATATATTATATTAAAGATTATCAATATTTGAAGTTCAAGCAATAACAGTAATAATTGTAAAAGGCAAATCTTTGTCTAATTAAAAGAATGAATTTTTTATGAATTTGTGTTTAGATAGAAGATAGAAACGCGTTACGAGAGAAAGATGTTTGTCAAATTTGTAAAAAGTGTGTAACCGAAATGGACGTGAACGAACGCAATAGAAGTTTCATCTCAACGGTAAATGTGTAGATTCTGAAACAAGGAACAATACTACGTGGAAAAAAGCGTGTTCCTGTTCCCGTTCCCGTTCCCGAATACAATGCGCGTAATTTTGTTGATTGCGACGAAACGAAAGCGGTAGAGATATTAGCATCGCTCGAATGAACAGCGAAAACGGCCTCGCGGGAAATTCGCGTTCCTTTCCTAACGTTGTTTATTAGTTTTCTCGAACGATTTTCGAATCAGTTCTCGTTGCAGAACAAATACAAAAGAAGTATCAAAAGAATTGGCGAAATCGGAAGAAGGTTAACGCGCCGTGACGTTGCCCCGTTAGATGCCTCTCGGTTGATGCGCTCCTACCGCCACTACCAGCTTTGTTTATACAGGTACTCTTGAATCATTCCTGCAACGCCATCTTTTCTCTTTTTGTTCTTATTTTGATGACGGTATCAAGTTTAATATCGTTCAAGATCGCGAATGGCAGGATTCAAAATTCCGCGATACGAGTAAATTCACCGTAAAGCGAGCGATCGGCAAGGATAGATAAAAGTTTAGGTGCGATTCAAGTTTCACGGGAAAATCGATTCACCTCGGTGCAACGTTCCGCTGTTCGGTTTTCTTACCGGTTCACGTTACTGGATTCCATAGAACGAGATATAACTATCCGAGGATGACGACCGATTTTATTCACGTGTTTTATCAAGGAAAAACACTTTGAAAACATATGCGATTAAAGCATAGAAAATTTTGTATAAGATTCGATTTGTGCGCGGATATTACACGTTCTCGAGTTTGCTCGCCCAGTCACAACCACATCTAATTGTAACTATCACTCGAATCTGTGGCAATGCGTACATATACAATTTTTATTAGTCATTTAATAAAATTAAAGAAAAGCTTTCGCTTCGTAGTTTCCAATTGACGAGAGAGTATCTCATCTAGGAATTGCGGATCGTAAATGAATAGTCGTTTTATCGTTGCCGTTTCCTTTAGAACACGGTTGACTTTTCACAACCAAAAAATTATCGAGTTTTGCGCGCTTTCTTTTCTTAGAAATCGTTCTTCCAGCATGGACGGATTACGGATCCTTTTCTGTTTTTATTCGATTCGAGTGGACGTGCTGTTTTCCCACCATTTTTATCCCAATCAATGTCTCGTTCATAGACGATTTCTTCTTTTTTTTAAAACATTTCTTATACAGAGAGTGATGGATTTAAAAGAATAGCATTCGAACACGAAGCAAGATCGTTTTGGTCTTGGACGCATCGTTCCTCTTTTGCGCAAATACAGCTTTCACTTCTCGCTGGCTCTTGCCATTTGCCCTTCAGCGTCGAGGACGTCACTGTCTGCGTTGAATTATCGCGCTCCGCATAACATAATTCTTCGTCGAATAGTGGAATAAGTAATAACTTTGATTATAAGTTGATAAAAATAGAATAAATTTTATCTATTTTTTTTATTATTATTATTAAGATTAACAGTAGGATTTTTCTTTCAAAAGAAAGAGAAATACGATTATTCAATGTGTTTTTTCCTCGAGTTTACAAACTTGCAAAGAATCGGAGATCCGTGCAATACGCGAAGGAAGTTTCGCAACGAATGTTTCATCTCGCGAAAGAATTATACGTACGATGGTTGCGCGATCGATCTGAATTTTCGATGTCAGTTTTTGGATAATGGATCAAGACAATATCGCGAAGAACAATAACGAAGGAAATCGGAAATTGATACGGACAATGAAGGCGTATGGGAATTTTCGGAAAAATAGTCATCGCAAAAAGTAGCGGCTCATCGAAGGGATTCATACACGGAACGTGGAACAAACGACGAAGATCGAATCGATCGATCGATCGTATATGTACTTACACGGATCACGGATCGACGGATCGTATCTACCTCCGCTCTGCGTCCAAAAACTTCCGCGCTATCTTTCATTCCTCCTCTCTCTCTCTCTCTCTCTCTCTCTCTCTCTC